AGCCATGTTATGATCCCTAAACTTATGTCATGTTTCAGTTAAAACAAAACTTTACATCACTTCATTGTCATCAATGTATGTTTTTGTGTGTGTTTTGGGACTATGTTTTTGTTGTCGTTGGATTTCATACAATACGATCTTCGTCAAAGTTATGATTATATAGAGTTTTCAAAAACTAGATAACTATTTTAAGTTAGCCTAAAACTTGCCCAAACCATGACAAAAGGACCAAAACCTACGTAAACTATAATTAAAGTAACATAAGATAAAATATTTATTTGCTAAAAAAAAGATCAAATATTTATAAATTAGATATTTATTTGCATTCTTATATATATTATATAAATCGAACATATTATATATATTCGAAGAACTTCCGAGGCCAGTAAAATCAACTCAGACAACAACCAGTGTTTTATAAGAGAAGTATCTGATTAGGGAACTACCATATTTGGTCAATTTTTGTCGGTTCAATAAAAGCCTCAATGCTAAGTTTCAAAGTCGTTTTAAACACCAAATTGACGTCTTTAACATACATCATTTAAAACCCTAGAATCTATACAAATAAATTTTGTCGATTATTATGTGAAGAGAATGTGTGACACGTTAGTGTATTTATGCTGGGGTAGTTGGGTAGTTGGTCACGCTTTCTCATCAATTTAAAAGTTCTCGTTTAATAAATGAAGAGAGTTCAGTTCGGGTCCAATATGATTGGAAAAAGAAGTCGGAACCCTTTATGGGGATAATTCTCTCTCTGAGAGCTCTGATTAGAGTTTTAGATTTATTTGGAAACGGGGTTTGTTTGAATAAACCACGTGTTTTAAGTTATCTTACACCTTTTTTACTTATCTAACATAAGCTAGGAAGGACTTTCAACTCTGAATGTCAAAGGATACTTGATTCTCAACATGTCAAAAATGGCCAAAAGAAGGAAAAATCAGAGTAGTGGTTTTATCTAAAAAAAGGAGTTAATTATGAGAAAATACAATAGAGATGTTTTCATGCCAGAGGTTGATCCATGAAAAAAAAAAGTGTCTGCTTCTTATCAGGAAAAAAACAAGTTGAGGTTACGGCTAGAAGGAAGAAAGTGACTGAGCAAATAGAAAGGACGAAGGCAGGGCCGGTCATGGGCCAAGCCTAATGAAACATTGGTCTTGAGTCCCTAAATTTTTTGAAAAAAGTTCCATGCATATAGGCCCCTAAAATTTTTTTGTTAGGCCCCCAAATCCATTAAAAAAAAATTTTTAGGTGAAATTGTTGAAAATTGGCCTTAGGTCCCCTTATTTTCAGGGCCGGCCCTGGACGAAGCCTATTATTACTGAAACAAATCCTCTGTTTGGTGTTCTCCATGATAGTCAAGTAGGACTTGATCCCATCACTGGCGGACCGAAAATAGTAAAGGAAGAGTATTGGATGAAATGCGAAAGTACTTGATGTTTGTCAACGGGGAAGATAAAGCGATTCGTGTGGAAAGAGTCATAAACTTGGTCAAGGAAGTGAAAAAAAGACCCAAATGCACAAAGAATGGTATTGCGTTTGGAACAAGTACCGATTGTCAACCATGACATCAACAAAGAGAAAGGAATTTTGTATGAGTATGGTGCAAAAATGAATGAGTCTCTGCACAAACCAAGCAATGATGATCAACCGAAACTTCTGGAGGTGGCCATAAAGTCTGCTAGTGTGAGGTTGATGAATGACAAAAAAAAATTTAACAATGTAGAAATTAAAGTGTTCTCTCTTGTCTTTTCAAGAATAAACAAAACGAGAGAGTAAAAACAGAACTTGTGCTAGCATCTTCTCGTTGATTTCGTCTATTTTTCTCGTATATTTAGCTTTTGAGGGTAGATTCCACCGCTTGACTTATGAACACTTCCCAACCAGTACACGAGCTTCATTGATTATATCCTTGAGCTCAACGCGCCATGTAAGTACACGAGCTTGTTGAGCTCATTGAGATCAGAAGATGACATCTCCTTGCCAGTTTTGGATTTTGGCAGATTCTTATTAATTGGTTAGTATTTCCACAAAATAATATGAATTTAGTTGAAGGGATATAATTAGTAAAACGGATAACTGACTTTTATATTAATTTGAATCATATAACTTTTAGTCATAAGTTAATAACTTTAATATATAAATATATATTTTCCAACATGTATCCCCTTCCTAAATTTTGAAAAAATATTGTGTCTGCGCTTTTAAAAGCAAACAATGGAAGTAAATGATAAGTTGTGAATTGATGCCTTCTCAGAGAGGGGTCTTGGAATCTTCATCTCCCAAAGGTTTGAAATGATAAGTGGGAGCAAAACTCGGAAACTCAAACCGAGAAGTCACCAAAATTTTGAAATCCTGTATGTCAACCTGAAATTTCTCAAGCAAGGACTCTGCTCCTGGCGACACATCATCCAACACCAACAATATAGGACCCTCTTCTTCAAGTTCCTCAAGCAGATTTCTTAAGCCATCAACTGCTTGAGAATCATTCTCAAATGTAGATGCTTCGTAACCGTTGTGCTGGAGTAAATTGTGTGTTAGACAGCACCAACAATATCTTTTGGTACTTTTTATACCTAACTTAAGCAGCTGGGTTAGGGACTTAGGGTTCTTAATTTCCTCAGTTACTGAGCATTGAAGACGATTTGTAAAGTTGTTTCTCACTCTCAGCATTAAATCTCATCGTCGAGTAACCTTTAAAGTTACTTCAGTATGTCTGTAGCTATAGATCGTGCGTTGATGGCTCTGTCCTTATAAGAAGAAGACACACCTTTAGACATCCAAATTTACCAGGGTTCAGTTCGATCGAGAAAACTAATCTAAGCCGGATAGGAAAGGCTTTCAACCCTGAATGTCAAAGGATGTCTAAGCTTGATTCTCAACATGTCAGAAAAAATGGAAAAAAAGGAAAATTAAGAAAAGTGGTATTAATTATCTCTAGAAAAATTTAGTTCATTTTTGACAATGTAAATCTCTGTATATATAAGAGGTTTTCTATAGACTTTTGACTTTTGACTTTCTTTAAGATATTTCAAAACCCTCTTTACTTCGTTATATCCCTTATATATTAAAAGAGAACCATTTTCCATTAAATGTTTTCACACCACATTCTTACAATTTATTATCTTATTTACTATTTTCTCACAATTTATTACCTTATTTACTATCTTCTCACAATTTATTACCTTATTTACTACTTTCTCACAATTTATTACTTTATTTACTATCTTCTCACAATTTATTACCTTATTTACTTCAACAATTGTTTACCTTATTTACTTCAATTATAAAACACACGAGATACTTTAAAACTACAAAGTTCATTATCGCGTGAGACAAATTCGAAGGCAAGTGAATTGGCTTGAGGGTCGATGTCAAAGTTCTGGAACGTCGTTATTTGGGAGGTGGGACGTATCTAAGATGATGGATGTGAAGGGCAACGTATCGGAGCCCATGAACGCGATCTTAGTTTGGACATGGCTCATATGTAGCATGAAGAGATTGAACTCAACCTTGCTAAGTTTGAGGTAGTTAGTGTAGTGAGGGTAGATCTAAATGGTGAAGTGTGTTGTCTTCGAGAGATCCCAAGACCGTATTGGTGCTCTGAAAACTCTATATCTTCACTACGTAGGTTGGTGAGATTGGTTCTGTAGTTTTGGACTTTTGGGCACAAGTTTTTAACGTCGATATTTGTATCCATAGGCAAGGACGTGGACAGGAGCTATTGAACAAATTGTCGACATATATATGTGAAAGGTTTAAGGCTCTTGAGATTGGAGATTTCGTTATACAAGTCGAGAATTTGCTTCTCGAAATGAGCCTTTTGGCTACTCATCTCGAGACTAGAAGGAGATTTGGGATTGTCTCAATACTCTTAATGGTGTTCACAGTAATATACTTTCATGTCGTGTGGATGACAAAAAAAAACAGATATATGCTCCAAAAGTTATACGTACAACCAATCCAAAACAAACTAATATGCAAATAAAACAGATATAATGTCTTCTTATCTTCAAAAATACAACAAATTTAATCATCTCATCCCGCGTAAGGCGCGGGTCTAATCCTAGTATTATGGTATGAGAGTTGTGAAAGCTCAACTTTCAATTTCTTCTTCATTTCAATTGCGAACAAATGATATTTATTTTTGATAGGTTTCTATAGATTTTTTATCATGAATGATAAACTACTTTTTTCTAGTTCATCATATTTGCTCGTTTTGAAGAAACTGTATCTTTCAAATTGGAGATTATACATACTATAAAATATGAATGAGACCACACTTCATAGGATATCCTAGGAATACAAATCTTGTCCTACGCAATCTGATAGCTACCTATGCTATTTTGTTTGGAGTTCTACAAGAAGTTTGAGATGGCACTTCTCAACTTATCAATAATACTTTGGGGGAATAAGAAACAGAACATATGTCAAACCGGTCTAAACCATAGATTTAGTATAAACTTCTTTCCCTCCTCTAGAAAGAAAACTTGCAGACCATATGTTTACCCAATTATTTAGTCGAAATTTCATTTAAATGAATGTAAAACTTTATTCAATCATAGTTTGAAGTGTGCAGCTTGTCAAAAACGCTGAAGTAAACGAGCCTTACAAAAGGTGTTGGGAAAACGGTTTTAATGCAAAATGGAGCGACACAAGAAACATGAGAAGCCAATTCTTGTCTCCCATTTCCTTCATCGGACCCATTCGGTTTCTGATTGATTTCTTTTTTCAACTCATATCAATTCAATCTGCTTCGACTACCTTAATATATATTGACTAGTTTATTGATTAACACAAAGGTCATATAACAACTATTAAGCGGACATATTCCATTCATCTATCAGTACATTTTCATGAATAGATATTATCAGGAAGAGATTCATCACCTCATCGATGTCATAAAATACATATAAGGGTAACCAAGGGATCTTCATAGACTATATAATTCTTAATCTTTTTATTCTTCTTCATATAGTATAGTTTAAATTAGATAGACTGATTTAAGCTGAATCTCGTTTAGTAATTGTGACGCTAAGCCCGTGCTTCATGTAAAGAGTAAGACCGGGAAGTGGCTCTATTTTCTGGCCTTTGATGACATGAATGTCATAGTTTTGTAATATCTCCACAATCACTGTCTTCAACAGATTCATAGCTAACTGCTTACCAGGGCAGCTTCTCGGGCCAGCATTAAACGCTAAAAACTTGAAGGAAGGTTCATGCCTCAAGCTACCTGTGTTTGAAACCCATCTCTCTGGTTTGAACTCAGATGCATCTTCTCCCCATACAGTTTTCATCCTCCCAAGTGCGTAGATCAGAATAAGTATTTTGGAGTTCGCATCAACTTTATGCCCACTTGGAAGCACATCCTTTTCTACAGGAGACGTGTGTTCGAACGGAACTGGTGGATATAACCTCATTGATTCATACAAAGCGCCATGTAAATACACCATCTTGTTGAGCTCAGTGGGATCAAAAGATGACTTCTCTAGGCCGGTTTTGGATTTTGTCAGATTCTTGTTGATTTCTTGGCGAATCTTGGCCTCCACGTTAGGGTTTTCAGAGAGAAGCCAGAAAAACCAAGTGAGTGCAGAGGAAATGGTATCTCTCCCGGCCACAATGTAAGTCAAGAAGATATCTTTGAGGAATCGATCATCACTAGTGTTCAAGATCTCGTACTTGGTTGTGTCTAGCTTTATGTAAGACGTCAACAAATCTTTGTTAGTGGAATGACTAACGCCTTGCATTTTTACCTCCTCTCTCTTGGCTGATATGTATTTGGCACACACACGATAAAAAATGTCATTAGCTTCTAACATTTTCTTCTCTATTCCCAATCCCATCCTTCTTTGTAGCTTCCAGAAGAATCTTGGTTTTATTTTTCTATACAAAATCCCTTCTAAAGCCTCAGTAAGAGCCTTGTCGAACTCATTCTCCGGCATGTCGATGGAGAGAGTTGTAGGATCAGAACTAGTTATCAAAACCATGAATATGTCGAAAGTGAATCTCCGCAACACATCTTGCAAGTCCAGGATTATCCCTTCCTTTGCAAAATGATCCAAAAGAGGCACAAGCCCGTTCTTGAGTTTAATTCTCGTTGAAAGTGTGGCAAAACCCTGATGTTTGAGTGTGCCCTCCGCTGCCTTTCTATGCTCCTTCCAAAGCTCGGCGTCCACGTTGAATATCACATCTTTGAAAACATCAAGGAGTTCTCTGAACTCAGGGCCTTTGTTGTAATTCAAGAAGTTTGAGCTTGACATATAGTGAATATTAGCTGGATCAACGGTGACCAGCATATCCATACCAGTCAACCATGGACCCTTGAATTGGAATGTCAAGTTTGAGTTCTCGAGAAGCTCCACGGTGAAATCATAGATCCGGTGGAGCACCATCAACAGGCCCGGAAGCATACCAATAAGAGGCCAGTTTGTCGTGATGAAGCTCGTATTTGGTTTCTTGATGAGAAAGTAAAGTAATATGAGAAAGCAAAAGATAATTATGCATATAAAAGCCATTAGAGAAGATTCTTTTGTGTGCGGTTTACGCTTGACCTAAACTTCATTTATATATATACACTGTTTCACGGTATCAAAGAAAGAATAGAACCGTCTTTGTTACACTGTTTCACGGCACCGACAGCCACAATTGCACAGCTTCTATAGCGACCCTATAATTCAAATGAATAATTATTTTTTCATGTGGATGTTAAACTGCCACAACTGGATGGGGAAACCCTCGTTCAAAATATACAAAAAAATATATTAATATTTATATCATAATTCTCTATTTTCTAATCTTTATGTAAATTAATCAGTATTTATATTTTAAAATATACTAAAGTTTTCAGTTGTATATAAATAAAGTTGCAAGAACACACAAATTATAATTAAGAACTATTTTTATATTAGATTTAAAAATTCTCTCAAAACTAAATTAATGTGTTTCTCTTGTTTCTCTTTAAGTATGTAACATTTCTGCAATTCCTTATATAGATCCAAACTACCTAATAATAATATATAAATATTTCCTTTCTTGATTTCTTTCCTATTTTCCTAACTTATTAAACTTTCTTTTAATAAGTTAATTTTATCCTTAAGTTAATTAGAATTATCCAACATTCTCCCCCTTAATTCCAACTTGAATCTCAGGCTTGTTGATCTCTTGAGCTCATGGTATGTGGATGACTTCGATGTGATCATCTTCTACACACTCACGGATGAAATGGTATTTCGAGAATATGTATTTGTTTCTCCCGTGAAACATCATACTCTGATGGAAGTATGTCTGACCATCGATGAGAATATCTCATTGTAGTGTACTTCCTCTCTATGACTGAAACCTCTTTGCAACAACCCGAGCTTTATACTTAACTCCTTCTACCGATGATGCTTCATCCTTAATCGTGAAGACCCACTTGAAACCTATGGTTTCACACCTACCGGCTTCTTGACGAGTTTCCAGGTCTTGATAGATTTGATCTCTGCCATCGCATCGATCCATGCTTGTATCGATGCAGCTTCGATGTAACTTTCTGGTTCACCAACTGTGGTGAGCAAGATTCTATCATCTTCAACTTTGGCGATTAGAATGTAAGCATTGAACCGCTTTGATTTCTGATGTTACAGTCATATCTCGATGTTACTGCTGATCTTGGTTCGCATCGTTATTCTCTGCTACTTTCTCTTGTTCACATGCGTCTACAGTTTCTTCTTCATTATTGTTTTTCTCTTCGTGGTGTTGGTGATCTTGATGCTCATCACCACTTTCTTCTTCTGTAACATCGATATGAGGAAGGTTTAAAGTTCCTAGTTCATCATTTGTATCATCGTTCTCAGCTATTTGTTCTTTTTCGGTTGCCGTTTCAAGTTCTTCTTCGGTTGTAGTTTCAATTTCTTCTTCTTCATCATTTTCTTCATGGTTTTGGTGATCATGATTCTCAACACCATCCCCTTCTTCAACCATGTTCTTAATGACTCCAAAATTTCAATGTTCAAGCCGTGCATGCCACATCCATGTAGCACCACTTTCTTGTGTTTCTGTTATGTTAGCTTCTTGGTCTTGTGTAGGTCGTATAGGACAGACTGATGCGAAGTGCCACATCTTGTCACATCTCCAGCACCGTACTTTGGAATGATCCTTCTTAGTCTTTTCAAAAGATTCTCCTCCTTTGTTGTGACTACTGAATCTTCTGTGACCTCTACCTCTGCTACAATTACCTCTACCTCTTCCTCGGTAGTTATTGTGTTCTCCACGGTTATGTTTGTCATTCCTTTTAAACATCAATTTAGTTTGATCTTCTTTGATGCGCTCTCTGAAAACTTTTAATCTCCCAACAGTAGATTTTTAGAATTTCTTCACTAGTTTCGGTTCCTCCATAACCTCTCTTAACACAGCCGATCTTGATGCAATGCCTGATAGCTTCCCAGTTTTGATGTAACGTCCAATCTCTATTTTAATATCGTTTTGATATAGTATAGAACAAACTTTGGTCGAAGTATTTAGAAAATCCAGTTAAATTTTTGCAAGTTATGATATAGGTAAAAAAGACATATATTTTTACCAACATGATGAAGATTTTTATAATCTTTTTTTCTCCATAATCTGCATAATTTTCATTTTCTGGAAGTTGAACCCCAGACTTCCTGGTGTAGAAGTATTAATAAATTCTTAGTTAAATCACTAGCCTAAAAGGGTTTCCACAAAAACGATTACAAAAGGTGTTCAGATTAATGAATACTTAGTCTAACTACTGGTGTGGGCTACTGTTAGATTAAGATAATCGTTTTGTTGACAAAAAAAAAATTCATTGATCATTTTAATATATGTTTCCAAAGCACTTATATATCGACCAGTCTTACTTTCCATTGTTCATAAGAATGTAGTTCTGCATCTAATGACAATCTCCTATTCTGATTTATGGTTTCTAAAGTTGAATTTTCTTTTAAAAATGAAAATATTTTAAATAAAATAACTTATGTAAATTTATAACCGCTTGTTATTAATAAGATCCTATTAATAACAATGTATAAAAAAATAGGAAAATTCCATAAAAATACCCCAACTTCATTTTGTTAAGTTTTTTAATATCTAAATTTTTTTGTTATCCAATTTAATACACCAGCTAATCATTTTTCTCAATTTAATATACAAACTTTTAAAACTATTTTTATTTTAATACTCAAACTTTAATTATTTTAATTAGAAAGACTAACCCGTTTCAGTTTCTGTTTAAAAAAATCTCTAAAATTTACAAAAAAAATCTCTACGAAATTTCTCATTTTATTTTCTGTTTGAGAAATAAAAGTAAATAAACTTTATTTACTTTTAAAAACTATACCTATTTTAATACTCGAACTTTATTTATTTTAATTAGAAAGACATAGTTTCAGAAAGTTTTTAAAAAATCTCTAAAATTTACAAAAAAAAAAAATCTCAGAAATTTCTCATTTTATTTTCTGTTTGAGAAATAAAATTAAATAAACATTGTATAATATTAAATTTTGTAATAAAAATTTTAAGTGTTAGATATTGAATTTAATTTATTTTCTGAAATAAAGAATAATTTATTTTTTATATTTAAAAATTAATACTTTAAAATTTACAGTTTTCTTCCTAATTTATCTACCTTCTTTCCTAACTATGAAAATAAAATGCTAAATTTTTAATATTTTTCTTATAGATTTTTTCAAATTTTATTAAAATAAATAAAATTTGGGTATTAAAATAGCACGATTTTAAAAGTTTGTGTATTAAAATCCAGAAAAAATAATAATTAGGATATTAAACTAGGTGACATAAATGTTTGAGTATTAAATTGTTTAGTAAAATTAAGTTATGGTATTTTTATTAAATTTTCTCAAGAGAAATCGTTTTCGTTGCTTATTTGGTGAAGAGTTGTGTAAATGTGACACGCTCCCATGTTTGTATTGAGGTAGTTGGTTGATCACGTACAACTATTATTATATTTGACATCAATTAATCTTCACATCGTACAAAGTTTTAATAGTCATGGATTTTGTGGTGAAGAGGAAAACCTTTGAACACCGACACATATTAGATTTGTGGTCGAGTTATAAGAGAGAAAACTTAAGATATTAATATGTTTAGATATTAATATGTTTTAGGTTCAATTATGAAAATATGTTACATTATTCTAGATATCCATATGGATCTAAACTTTTACTCTTGCAGATTAATCTCTCCATAAAACCAGGATACTATCAAATTATTTTTTTTAAATCAAATAATTAGTTACATTCCATAAAATATTGTAAGTTTTGATATATTAATATGTTATACTAAAGTTGACCCCAAAAAATTAGTTATACTGCACACATATTTTAATAATATTTTACAGATTTTTTTGTTTCATTTATTAATGTTTCATTATTTTATAAATACTTTTTGTTGATGTTTTGATTATTTGTATTATGCAGTTTGCTTTACTATTACTTGAGTTGTGTTTGAGTATATGCCTACTAATGTTTTAACTTTAAAAACGAATTATTTATGCATAAACATTACACATCCCTTACGAGTTATAATAACATATGGATTATAAGATTGGAATTTTGTTCTGTTTCGTTTCTTTCAAGTTTCTCATCTTTTTATACACACCTAAATTGTTTTGTGAATACTTCAATAATTATTTGTTATTCATTAATGAGTCAACGGTAGTTAGGGGGTCAAGGTTCAACGTTTTTATAATTAACAATAACGTTTTAAAAGTCTTGGTACCAACATAATCGGCTGTGATTAATTCAAATATATATATTTATATATATTATTTTTTCAATAACCAAATAAATTATATTACTATTATATTTGTGACAAACTTTGAGTAACGTCTACTAATATTGAAGCACTAAGAGCAACCACATCCCTAAATTTCTCAGCTAGGAGTTCTAAACTAACTAATATTAGTATGATTAGCCATAGATATTTTGGTTCTCGGTTCGTTTCCAGTTTGATTTTTTCAGTTCTAGATGTTTAAGATCTGTTCAGGTATTTAGAAAGTTCGATGAGTTTTTGATTTGGTTCAGGTAACAAATTTAGACATCACTAATATTTGAAGTAATTTCGGATCTTATTCGATTCCAGTTTTTTTTAGTTAATTATGGTTACAAAGTAAAAAAAGAATCAAGTTTTGGATTAAATATCATATTTTTTTAAATTTTCTAAATAAAATCTTAAATAATTCAAAGAAGATTTAATATTTTGGATAAATTTATTTAAATAATTTAATTTTTTGGGTATTTAGACTAATTAATAAGTTTTCAAATTATTTAATTAGTTTAAACTAGATATAGTTAATATTTATAAATATAAAAATATATTATAAAAATTCGGGAATCCATTCGGTCCTTGGTTCGGTTCCAGTTTTGTTTCGACTATTCAGTTCTTCTTGAGATATAGAATCCTTTAGTATAATTGTTAGAATCCAAACCCGAATGGACCAAATTTTTTGGTTTTTGGTTCTTCGGTTTTGGATAATGTGTCCAAGCCTAAGTATTATAGTCATATATTTCAAATATTTGATTTAATTTAATGATTTTATAAAATCAAAACTACTTACACATACATATGTAAAGATGAGTATCTGAGAGCATATTCATTGGTAGAATGTGAAGATTTCTTTCTGTGTTCTGGTTGTGTTACTCTGCGGTCTGCCCAAATTGGTAAGACACAGTTACGACAAACCTCCCCTATCGCTGCAGTACATCGACCATCCACGTGGAGATTATTGGTGCGAGATATGTGAGAGGACAGACCCAGACAATACAAATGGTTCTCTACATGTCATGACTCATGAGTGTTGCTCCAGTCTTCATATCCATTGCCTTTTTGGAACAGTCCCATATTTCTGCTTTGGGTTCACCAGTTCACCTCCGAAAGTATGACTTTCATATCAAAGTGGTTCGCAGCAGCTCGTTACCCGGGCACATTGCTATGAGTGTTCCACCAACTGTGAAAGTACATCTGTCTTTAAGATGAGTGACAAGTTTTTCTGTTCTTTGAATTGTATGGGGTGTACCGTGTACATTGTCCTTTCAGAAATTTAGACCGTTAATTGTTAAAATTCATCTATATACTCTATAAATATATGTATCTGTTAATATCTTGAAGATACACAAGAGGCCAGGATTTTGCCAACTATTCAGACTCAGTTAGAAATATATTCTATATTCTATATTATAGTGTCTCATCCTATCATCGATTTTTAATGAACAAATGAGAAGAAAAAAAATGTACAATTGTGTATGAGAATCAAACAAATGTACACCATTTCTTTTGTGACCTGGGTGAGCTAATCGATTTCTTACTATTTCATATGACATCGAGTTTTAGGCTGGGCCGGGTGGGTTTAACATTAGAGCATGTTTATTGGGAGAGTGCTTAAGGAGGTGCTTAGAGAAGTGGGGTGCTTAGTTTTGAAGGGAGAAAGTGTTGAAAGTGCTTAATTAAGCACTTTCAACACACTCTCTCTTCAAAACTAAGCATTTCACTCCCTTAAGCACCCTTCCTAAGCACCTCCAATAAACATGCTCTTAGGAACTCGTGAATACTTTGTGAATTGGAAGAAATGATTTAATACAGTATTTGTGTGTTCAAAAAAAAAAAAAAACAGTATTTTGAACTCAACCAAACAATAGAAAAAATATTCATGTTCTGGAACCCATACTGAAATGGGTCCATTGTCACATCAAATTTTAGTGGCCTCATCTCTTATATTATCTCATTATGTTCCACCCAATATTTTATCCTTAATCAATAAGTGGTTTTGATAATCAAAGTTTAATTTGATAATAGGCAGTGGTGGTTTGAGTCAATGACCGTACGACCGTTGCCAAGGGACCTAGATTTTGCAAGCGTCATATAATGAATGCACTAGGGAGATAACACCCTCGTCCACGTGTTGATTCCGAGAGTTCACGTGAGTTCATGTGAGGCTTTGGTGCCGTAAGTTACTATTTCTTACTTCATTAAAGTTGGTCAGTCTCAAGTGCATCTTAATGTTAATATTCATCCAACATAATTAAGTTAATGGAATTTAGACGATTGCAGTGATTATTCTATAAATGAAGAAGGTAGTTTTTTAATAATGCTATTAAACTTTTATCAACTCTGGTTCAATGTACCAGCCATCTCGAATACTTAGGAGGACATGTCTCTTAATATAAAACACCCTAACTAAAATCCACCAACAAAACTGCATTGGTGTAATTAATATGAAATGATTATGATTCCATATATAATCTCAAGGAATAGAAAATGTTATCTGTAAATTGAGTTTTGAGACGAATTATTTGTGAAAATGGATAATACTTCTAACGTACATGGATAATCCTTGTACTTAGACTATTTCATTTTTATACTAATGTACATGGATGAATATTAACCACGACACCTTCAAATATTAACCACATTCAACCATAGTTGGATTATTCACACATCAGTCAATTTCATATTTAAAAAATTTTGAACTCGAGATTCATCGAATATGCGCAGAATTAATGTGGTGGCCCTATGTGTTTACAACCCCACCTACTAATAACTCAAACTTGATAGCATAGAAATAACAAATACACTACCGAGTGTATAATATTATCCACTAACTAGTGCTCAGAAGCGGCTCCCTACTTACTTACAGTAATTAGCCTTTCCATAAACAAACAATTAACAACAAAACAAAGAGAAGAAAGCAAAGAAACAAGAAACATTGCTTTTGAGGGAACATCGCAAGATCGAGAAGTGTAAAAAGTTGATTAGAAAAACTTTCACATTAAACGACGAAACAGAGAGTTCTATTTTCTTATTAATCTCCCCTCCTCTTGTCTTCGTCATTCACCTGAAGAAAAAAACAGAGGAGAGAATTGTAGAAGCAGCTATACCTTTCTTGAATCGATTCTCTCTCCTTCGATACGACATTGATGTGATCGGATAAAGAAGACTAACTTGTCAAAGAAGAAGAAAGAGTCTCCATCAACGTCAAAAAAGCTGGTTCTTTTCACTTCACTCATCTCCTCTGTTTCTGTTTGTGAAATTTTCGCGGGAAAAAAACGTTTCTTTCTGTTTTTTTTTTCTCGGCGGTTACTTAGAATCGTTATGGTTGATGAAGTTTAAGCAACATTCTAATCATTGAGTGGTTTCATTTAGACGTAAACATGTTAACGTCACCGTAATCTTTGCTAGGTTTCCTTTATCTCAATATAAAAATCGTTTCTTTATTTCACTTTTTCTCTGTCTTTCCTCTGTTTTGAAGTTATATCCTTCCTTCCTTCCTCTGTTTTGAAGTTATATCCTTTTTTCAGGAACTGTGTCGAACACATTCAATGGATCCTTCAATCGATCACGCTTCTTCATCATCCAAACCAAGAAACACTAAACCCAAATCCAAACCCTCCATCACATCACGTTCCATCGCTTCCAGAGCCACCAAGAAACAAGAAACTTCCCCTGAAGTTTACGAACACTACTCTGTTTCATCTCACATCACACACACCAAGAAGAAACAACAACAAACAGAGCCTAGATTCTACCCTAGCCCAACCAACACATTCTACACAGCACCGCTCTACACAGAAGCCAAACAAAGCTTCAGCGACTCCGCAAGCACCCTCGGCGTCGGAGGAATCGATCTCGAGAAGATGGGCGTGTTAACATACAGAGGAAGCACAGGGAGCGACGAGAGCAGCTCGAGCGGGCTAAGCAACAACGCAGGGAGTTACAAGCCTCACAGAGCCAACAACGACAAAAGATGGGTCGCGATTCAAGAAGTTCGTTCTCGGGTCGGGTCGTCTTTGGAGGCTAAAGACTTCAAGCTTGTGAAGCGGCTCGGAGGAGGTGACATAGGGACTGTTTACTTAGCGGAGTTGATAGGAACAGGGGAGACTTTTGCAGTGAAGGTTATGGAGAAGGCGGCGATTGCGGCGAGGAAGAAGCTTGTGAGGGCGCAGACGGAGAGGGAGATATTACAGTCGTTGGATCATCCGTTTTTGCCTACTCTGTATTCGCATTTCGAAACGGAGAATCATTCGTGTTTGGTTATGGAGTTTTGTCCTGGGGGTGATTTGCATTCTCTACGGCAGAAACAGCCTGGAAAGTACTTCCCGGAACATGCTGCTAGGTGAGTGAACTCGAACTCAAAAGTGTGGTTTGCGTTCTAAAAGTTTAACGTTTGCGTTTTTGCAAAAAAAAATAGTTTGGATTTTTATGTTGGTTTGCGTTCTCTGCGGTTTTAGCGTTTGCGTTTTGCTGAAAAGGTTACGATTTTGAAGTTGGTTTGCGTTCTCTGCGGTTTTAGCGTTTGCGTTTTGCTGAAAAATGAGATTTTGATGCTTTATTTGCGTTCTCGTGGTTTAGCGTTTGCATTTTGCTCAAAAAGTATGGATTTTATGTTGGTTTGCGTTCTCGAGGTTTAATGTTTGCGTTTTACTGAAAAAGTAGGGATTTTGATGTTGGTTTTCCGTTCTCCTGGTTTAGCGTTTGCGTTTTGCTAAAAAAAGTTGGGAATTTGATATTGGTTCGCGTTCAGGCAGTTTAAAGTTTGCGTTTTTGCTGAAATAGTTGTGATTTTTTATGTTTAGTTTGCGTTATCTGCGGTTTAACGTTTGCGTTTTACTGAAAAAGTTGGGATTTTGATATTGGTTTGCGTTCTGGCAATTTAACGTTTGCGTTTTGCTGATAAAAGTTGCGATTTTTATATTGGTTTTTGTTTTGGCGGTTTAACGTATGCGTTTTGCTGAAAAAAGTTGATGTTGGTTTGCGTTCTCGTAGTTTAACGTTTGCGTTTTAATGTTTTTTTGTGTACAGATTCTACGTTGCTGAAGTGCTTCTAGCTATGGAATATCTACACATGCTAGGGATCATATACAGAGACCTAAAGCCAGAGAACGTTTTAGTACGCGAAGACGGACACATAATGCTATCAGACTTCGATCTCTCCCTGAGATGTTCAGTCTCTCCAACCCTGGTTCGATTCGCAGCAACCACAACACTCGAATCCAAACCCTCAAGCTACTGCATCCAACCAAGCTGCGTAGACAGCCAAAGCTGCATCGTCCAACCAGACTGCATCCAACCAGTATGCTTCACCCCACGTTTCTTGTCCAAATCCAAAACCAAGAAGAAACTAAACGAGACCGCACGACAAGTCAGACCACTCCCTGAGCTAATGGCAGAACCAACAAGCGCACGTTCCATGTCTTTCGTTGGTACACACGAGTACTTAGCGCCGGAGATTATCAAAGGAGAAGGACATGGAAGCGCGGTTGATTGGTGGACGTTTGGGATATTCTTGTACGAGCTTCTGTTTGGTAAGACACCGTTTAGAGGAGAGGGAGGGAATAATAGAGCGACGTTGTTTAATGTGGTTGGACAGCCGTTGAGGTTTCCTGAGCATCCTAGTGTGAGCTTTGCGGCTAGGGATTTGATTAGAGGGTTGCTTGTGAAGGAGCCTCAGCATAGGTTGGCTTATAGGAGGGGAGCTACTGAGATTAAGCAGCATCCGTTTTTTCAGAGTATTAACTGGGCTTTGATTAGATGTACTAACCCACCTCAGGTTCCACAGCCGGTGAAGATTGTTGATAGTGGTCAGAGTCAGGGGCATGGTTGTAGCCGTAGTCTGGGAGATGGTAAGCCGCCTACTGTTGTTGATGTGAAGCCTTCTGGTAATTATTTGGAGATTGATTTCTTCTGATTTTTTTTCTGTTTTTTCTCGTTCTTGATTCTGTGACGGCGTGTGTGTGTGTTAGTCAAGTGTATAATGACTTTTTTTTTGCTTTTGGGGGTTTGTGTAGACTTTGGTCAGATGTGTGTGTTTTTATCTTACTGGATGATTTGATGACTATTGTTGTTCTTCACGTTATGGTGAAGTTGTACATATTTGAAACAAGGTTCCTTTAATCCAACTATGGAAATGTTAATTTGCTTGTCAATCAAGTTTTATTTTGTACAATCGCAGATAAATCAATTATTCTTTTAGTACAGAAAAGAATCTAAAAAGTGGAAGGAACTTTTTTTTGGAAACAATATGTATATATATATCAGATTAGTCGATAAAATACCTGATCGGATGAGCAATTTTATTGGTTTTGTACTTTTGTGTGAATTGTGATTTATATGGGGAAAAAAGTCTCATGCTTGTGCGCATTAGCAAGCGAGTCTGCATAGACACTAAAATAAAAGAAATCAGATGTAAACTACAAATGTCAAAAGAACGTCTAGTAATTGTCTAATTATGAGCTAAAAACGATTAGCTGGGAGAGAGGATCACATCTTTGTATGAAGTATTAAGATGTTTTGTCTACTCGCTTAACACAGCTGATGCAACGTCTTTGATTCTCTTTACATTTAACCATTCCAATGCATCAATTTGGTAGGTATGGGATGTGGTTGGACTTTGGGGATGCTCTCTATAAACCAAATGAGATTTGGACTCAACCATTTTCTTCTTCACATTCCTTTTGATTTACTATGCACCATCGCTTAAGTTGAACAAATATCTGTGGCAATTTTTCTCATTGTAGAAAGATATCTTTAAAAGAGGAAATGTGAGAGTATCGATACAAAACCAGCAAATATTTTCTTAAATTTTGTTGCTGAAATAGAAACATACATATCATTGAAAAAACAATAGTCTATGCCTGTGTTAGCCTGTGTTATAGTCAGGCAATTAGCATGCAAAAATGGATTTAAAAGTTTTGATTAAACAAAATAATCAAGAGTCTTAGTCTAACTAAAGTAACCGTCAGTCACTGACGCAGTTTGACAGACGAGTATAATGGTAGGTGGATTAGCAAACGAATGACAGTGAGATGTGGTAGGTAAAATGCTTATATCACCAACCAGTCACTTTAATTCCCGGTCCAAATTGCGTGGGCATGGGAGCGACGGTTGTTCAGATCAGAAGATAAACACAAATATAAACAAAATTTCCTTTAATTTCCGAAAAATATAAATGACAACGAAATTTCTAACACCTCCTTCATTTCGATCCCTTCGCTTCTTCAACTCTCCCCTCTTCTTCCTCGAAACCCTAGATTCTAAAGTGAAGTACTCCTCAATGGCGGAAGTAGATAACAAATCAAACACCGCACCACCGGTCTCAGACGAAGAGCTCTACGGATTCAAACGTCCGGAGATGTACACCGGCACCCTCGCAGGCTCCGTCGCTCCCTACGGTCGCCACGTTTTCCTCTGCTACAAGAGTCACGAGACCTGGCTTCCTCGCGTCGAAACCGAAGGTCTCCCGCAGAGGTTCGCTAAGTCGTTTAAGGATCGGAGAGGTGATTTCGCTGTTAAGGTATATTATATATTCGTTTTTAGATTCGTTTTTTGTATAAGATGCTGATTTGTTGGAGTGTTGTGTTGTTGTAGACGAACTTGACGGTGTGTGGTGGAGGTGAATCGGATGGAGATGTGTTGATTTTCCCTGAGATGGTCAGATACAAGTGAGTGAGTTTTGGAATTCGTGTTTGATTGGTTTAGAGATTGTAGATACTTGGATTATAGGTCGTTCTGTTATAGAGATGGTGGTGTTTAAACACGAGATTAGATCTGAGAAGATAGTTTCTGATATATTCTGTTAATGTGCATTTACGTTTTTGATCACATCTTGTGTTGTTTGTGGATCTTGTAGCCATCTTGTTACTCATCCTTGTGACAGTTAAGATGAATCGGATGATGATGTATTGATTGATGTAGAAAGTGTAGATACTCAGAGGATGGTGTTAAAACTTGAGATTGGGAAAGTTAGTTTTCAAGATCAGGCTGTTGATAATTGTTTATGGATCATGTAGTGATCTTGGTTGTCATCTTTTGTATTCTTTTACTTTCTTTTAGGGCGATTAAGGAGACTGATGTGGATGCTTTTGTGGAAGATGTGCTTGTTAATGGGAAGCCGTGGACCTCTGGGGTTCAGGAAGAGTTGTCAGGTTCTTTTGTGTTTGTGTGTGCTCATGGAAGCCGGGATAAGAGATGTGGTGTTTGTGGACCAGCTCTTATGGAGAGGTTTGAGCAGGAGATTGGCTCGCGTGGACTTTCTGGGAAGATCTTTGTGAAGCCGTGTTCTCATGTCGGTGGGCATAAGTATGCTGGAAACTTGATTGTTTTTAGCCCTGATTCAGCTGGAAATGTTTCTGGTCACTGGTGAGGAAATGTCTTTGTATAAGTAAGAGAAGAGATTGAACTCTACCTAGGGATCTTATGCATTATTTATTGATCTTTGATAATATGTAGGTATGGCTATGTAACTCCTGATGACGTGCCTGCAATGCTTGATCAGCATATTGCCAAAGGAGAAATCATACAAAACCTTTCCAGGTCTGTTTTCCTGCTTCTTGTTTCCAGCTTGTTGCAGTTATGTCTTATTAAATCAGCTTTACGTTTCCTATGTTTATGGTATAAATTTGTATACCTGACATCCATGTTGGAACCGAAACTGCTTTTTGAGAAAACTTTTGTTGGCTCATGCGTTGTTGCAAGTGCGTATTATGTCTAACTAGTATGATATTGCAAGGATATGGTAAAACTACAGTAAACAAAGTTTCTCCTTAGAGATAGCAATGGTAACATGTAATGTCTACTTTGGCTGGGGTTTTTGTTTTCTGAAACTAGGAAGCTCATAACTATTCACCAACTCATTTTAGCTACAAAACTCTGTCATGGGATCTTTCAGGTTCATTCAACGCTGTATTTCTGTTTTCAATATCTAATATAATTTCTGCTTCAGGGGGAAGATGGGACTAATACCCGAGGGTGAGGAAGCTGTGAAAGAGGTTGAGCATAAAATCCCAAACGGAAACGGCGTACAAGTTGAGAAGAAGGGATTGACAGGAGGTTGTTGCCAAGGTGCAAATGGGGTTTCATGTTGCCAAGAGCAAACCCCAGAACCAGTCAAGAAAGAAGGATCCGTGAAGCAGAACTGGTTCAGATCGATCGAGAAAGAAGAGCTTCTGTTGGGAGCTGCTGCAGTTGGGGCTGTTGCAACCATAGCCGTGGCTTACAGCATTTACAGGAAGTCAGGTTAAGAAACCATACTCCTCTATTACATTACAAGAAGTTACAACAAGTATGAAACTATATTTTTGGTAGCTATGTTATAGCAGTTTAAAAAGAAAAAAGAAAAAGAAAAACATGAGGTATATGATTGAAACCACGTAACCATCACTTGGTCTGCTGGGATCTATCGGTTTGGCAATTACAGGAATGACATGTATTCACGGCCTTTAAATAAATATTATATATTAGCATTTGCCCTACTGCGTTTGTGTATGTTGTTTTGGCTTTAATCAAATCGGTTTAACTGGTTATATCAATCAAGTTAGGCACGGATTTATTAACCTTTTCTAGCTTGATTATGTATATGCAATAATCCAGTGTTGATTATGTATATAATCAATTTTTTTTCATGATGACAAAAAAATAAAATGTTTTTAAATTATAAAGTTAACTGATAAAGAAAAAAAGGACACTAGAAAGTACAGAAGGACGCGGTCGTGGCGTAAGTAAATGGATCCCACCTACTCATCTCCTTCTTTTGGGCTGTTACCTCACCGACGAGATTTTCTACTGACACTTTTCAGTTTTGGTCAAAAAATGTACAGAGAAAGAAACAAAGAAAATGACACAATGGGATCTAGAATCCAACCAAAGTTAGCTCCAACAACCCACTTACCACACAATCTTTGGTTCAATAATCAACTTATTCGGAACTAACTTACACTGTAATCTATTTTTCGAAGTTAGTAATAATGAAATGGGCTATAAGCAAAAATAAAGTAACATGATGTCGACATGGTAATGACTTAATACATACGCCAAGTTAAAGAAAAAGAGATGCTACTGTAATAGAGTGTCTTTATGTAATTGCCATTTGACATATATATGTGATGTATTGTAAAAGGTATTTTACTCAATACATGCTTCTCATTTGTCAAAGGCACAATTGGAGGCAGTTCAATCTTACGTTCAATTATGCAAAGTTGACATTTATAACTCTCTTATTAAATGCTTATTCTATTAAGCATATGGAGAATGAAGATTATGCATAAGAGATGACTACGGTCAAAGATCCAATAATTATGTTTGATATCAACTGAAACTTCTCCTTCCCTCACAGCATAACCTGGTCGGGTGGTAATCATTCCTAATCTCTAATCCTAATGTATATTTGAACTATTATTTAAGCGTTGAAAAGTTTTTTGGGATGATTCTCTCAATCATTCATCCTTCCGAAAGCTATTCTATCATGCCCACATTGTCCTTTTAAGATAACATTGTCCCTCCCAAAAAATTAAAATCCTTAGGATCCATATGAAAGTCAAAGTTGTCAACTAGCATCTTAATATAAATTCTCGTGATGAGATTTACCGAAAGCTGACAATCGCCCATAATAAAACATCCTTCTATTTGTTTGCTAGTATCCAACAAAATTCAACCCACTGAATAACACTCGATGCAAAATTGAATACACTACAATTTACATATGTACTATGAATGTATGTTCTTTTAGTTATTTGTGTGTGTGTTTCGTTTTATCATTTATGCTCTTCTATACAAAAAAAAAAGGAACAAAAAAAAATAGAAAAGAGGTTGAAAAGGACTCGTGGCTGGTGAGGCTGCCGCGTCCGCAAGTGTGTTTTCTCGAAGATAGAGAGGTGAGGCGATTTCTTGTCACCTCCACGCTGACGCCTACGCGGAAAAAGCAAACCACTTTCATTTTCTTTAATCCTTTTTAAAAAAAAATTATTTTAGTCAAAAAAAAAAAATTTATTAAACTCTTAATAAAAAAAGAAACTTTTCTTTTAATTTCCTTGTTAAAAATCATTATTAACCAAACGAACACGAATCATCAAACTCTGACCAAATCTCCCATCTAGTTGTGTTTATTTTCTTCCCTTTTCTTTCCTTCCTTCAGTTCAAAGTGTCAACTTCAGTTCCTCCATACTTCTTCTCCATCTCCATCTCTCTGTCGCTCTCCTAAATTCCCATCTTCTCCGTGCAAAGATTTATTTATCTTTTCCATTTATTACAGAAACCAAAAAAACGATTTTAATAGTTTTTGTTCTTTGTGTTTGTTGTGTCATCCTCTACTTATAGGAATCTTTTGATTTCGATATATACATATTCTCCAAAAGGCATCTTCTTCTTCTCCTCCTATTATCTGATTGTACAGTTTCATATTCCAATTCAAGTTTTTGTTTTTACCAAATGATTAATCAATCACAAAGACCCCAACTTTGGTAACTCTATCTAGTTAGGGTTTTTGTGTCTGAAAACCAAATATAATCATTAGTTCTTGTCTGGAGGAAAGGAAAAAATGGGATCTGCAAGTGGGTTTTACTCAAACGAAGGGTTTGAATTGGATCCTAAATGGCGAGTTGATCCTCGTCATCTCTTTGTTGGTCCCAAGATCGGTGAAGGTGCTCATGCCAAAGTCTACGAAGGAAAGTAAGCTTTGACTTCCAACTTTATGATCCACAAAAAGTGTAAATAAAGTAGAAAGATTGTCTCTTTTAATCCCTAATCATTTGCTTACAACAGATACCTTTTGTAAGAACTCTGTTTGTTTCCTAACTGCAGATATATAAAAGGCTTGAGAAACTGTTTATCTTGTTTTGTTTTTAGGTATAGAAACCAAACGGTCGCGATTAAAATAATCAAAAGAGGAGAGTCCCCTGAAGAGATTGCTAAAAGAGAAAGCCGGTTTGCAAGAGAGATCGCTATGTTATCTAAAGTCAAGCACAAGAACTTAGTCAAGGTTTCATCCCTTTCAATTAATCCTCTCTTAATCTGTCTAAAACAAGTATCATAATAGATTTTTTATGTATATAATATAGTTCATTGGAGCGTGCAAAGAAAAGATGGTTATAGTTACTGAGCTTCTACTAGGCGGTACATTGCGTAAATATCTAGTGAATTTGCGGCCAAACCGTTTAGATATACGTTTGGCTGTTGCGTTTGCTCTTGACATTGCTCGTGCTATGGAATGTTTGCATTCCCATGGAATCATTCACCGCGATCTCAAACCAGGTAATCTAACCGCATCATTTGTAAAATCATATATATATTGAAAACAAAACTTTATAAAATCTTATTGCGTTTTTTTATTTGGCAGAGAATTTGATCTTATCTGAGGATCAAAAGACGGTAAAACTAGCTGATTTCGGTTTGGCTAGAGAAGAATCATTAACAGAAATGATGACCGCAGAGGCTGGTACTTACCGTTGGATGGCCCCTGAGGTAACTTAACTAACTATCTTTACTACTAAACCTTCCAACAAAGAAGAAACATTATAACCATAACTATATGAAACAGCTTTACAGTACGGTTACATTAAGACATGGAGAGAAGAAACATTATAACCATAAAGTAGATGCTTATAGCTTCGCCATTGTCTTGTGGGAACTCATTCTCAACAAGTTACCATTTGAAGGCATGTCTAATCTACAAGCTGCTTATGCAGCTGCCTTCAAGGTGAGTAAATAACTTAGCTTTTTTTTTATATAGAAACATTATAACCATAATTATCAAGAGTCTGCATTTGATCTTTACTTGTTTGAAAGATTCTTGTTGTTCTAATCAATCTTTTCTTGGACAAGAACTTGGATTCAAGAACCTGAAACTAGCTTTGTGACTTTTTGTGTGTCTTTGTTATAGAACGTGAGGCCTAGTGCAGAGGATTTACCAGGGGAACTAGGGTTGATAGTGACATCATGCTGGAAAGAAGATCCTAACGAACGGCCAAACTTCACTGAGATTATACAAATGCTCCTCCGTTACCTCTCCACTGTTTCACCACCACAGATCGTTCCTCCTCCGGTGAGACGTGTTTTCTCGTCGGAAAACGTGGTTTTCTCACCGGATTCTCCAGGAACTTGTTCGCTGATGAATGTCAGAGACAAAGATGGTTCAGGTGAGAACGTTAACGTTGCTGTGTCGTCGGAGAAAGAAACGAAAGGAAGCTTCTTCTTCTGCTGCTCATAGATGATGATGAATACTATAAAGAGTAATCGGTTGTAATTGTGTAAAGGAGAACGAGAGGAAGATGTGTTGTTATATGGAATGATAAATAGCAAAAGAACTTAGATCACAGTAACGAGTAAAAAAAACTCTATTGTTCGTGTCCCAAGTGAAAATATTCAACTCTGAACCTTTTATTTTGCTTGTTAGTGTATATATGTAGTACGTTTAATTAATTTACAATAAAGTTTTAAAATATAAAAATAACGCCGTTGCCGGTGATCGAACCCGGGTCACCCGCGTGACAGGCGGGAATACTTACCACTATACTACAACGACTCTTGTTGTTAGGTTTTCAAAGTAAACGTCTAAAAATACTCAACCTCAAGGTTTAGGATCGTGTTCTTCTAAAACCCTCAAGGTCTCTCCTTCAGACACTAGCTTGGCCAAATGTTGACGACAAGGAGTCTCTCGAGACATTGCTCGAGAACTTGTAAATGGTCTTTATCGTCTCTCCTTCAACCCGATTCCTCCAGGTAATCTCAGTCTCCAAACCCTGATCTCAGATTCGTGTATTCACCCCAAAGTTTGTAGCTTTAATCCCCAAATGATTGATCTTTGCTATCATTTTTACTGAATCTACAAACCCTTTTTTGGAAAAATCGTTTTTGTTTATGGATTTTTGGGTTTTGATTTATTGAAGGAATCTGGTTTTGTCATCGAGTCCGGTTACAAGCAATGTGATGCTTCAGCCTGGTAGCTATAATGAAGGTTCATTAATGCATCAAGTCGTGAAGGGATGGTGTCGAGCTATGTCTACATCGAGAGGAAGGAGCATGAGGAGTAAAGTGGAGAGTAGGATGAGGAAAGAGTCTGGTAAGACGTTGAGAGAGATTAGGAGAGCTAAGAAGTTGAAGAAGAAACTCATGACTGATGAAGAAAGACTCATTTACAACCTCAAAAGGGTATGTATATAATAATAATAATATCATTCCCTATTTTGTGTTGGTGATTTTTAATTAGGCTACTAGTGTTTGTATTAGTTCAAAAGTTTGAAACTTTTATGTGTCATTTTGCTTACTGTTGAATAGGTTGAGTTTGTGTTGAGTTAGAACTTAGAAGTGTGGTTCCTGTAGGAACTTTATTTGATTCAGTTTCGGTTCTAGAGATATAAGATCCGTGCGGATATTTATAAAATTTGGTTCGGTTTCTGTTCCGGTTTTTTCTGTTCGGTTCTTCGGTTCCGGATAAGTGTGTCCAGGCCTAAGTATGGACTTGAATTGCTGATCTGGTTGATTTAGAACTTAGAAGTGTGTTCTTGTAGAAACTTTCAATGTTTTTCTTTCAATATTGATGATGTTTAAGTTGCTATTGTGTGCTATATATGATGTAGGCGAAGAAGAAAGTTGCACTCCTGTTGCAAAAGCTCAAGAAGTACGATCTTCCTGAGCTGCCATCCCCGGTTCATGATCCTGAGCTTTTCACACCTGAGCAGATTCAAGCGTTCAAGAAAATCGGTTTCAAGAATAAAAATTACGTCCCTGTTGGTGTTCGTGGAGTCTTTGGAGGAGTGGTTCAGAATATGCATATGCACTGGAAGTTTCATGAAACGGTGCAGGTTTGCTGCGATAACTTCCCAAAGGAAAAGATTAAAGAGATGGCGACCATGATAGCAAGGCTTAGCGGTGGAGTGGTCATTAATATACATAACGTGAAGACTATTATTATGTTCCGTGGTAGAAATTACAGGCAGCCTAAGAACCTTATCCCTGTCAATACCCTCACCAAACGAAAGGTAAAGCTGTATAAATCGTTGTAGTGTGGCTTGCTTTATCAGTTATGTTGTAGTGGTATGGTATGAACAAGTAGTATCTATGATTTGCAGGCTTTGTTTAAAGCGAGATTTGAGCAAGCACTTGAGTCTCAGAAGCTGAACATCAAGAAAACAGAACAGCAGCTAAGGAGAATGGGTGTTAACCCTGAAGATCCTGTTGCCATGGCTAGCATCCAGAGGGTGGCGTCAACGTTCTTCAATGCGATCGATAAAAAAGAAGGAAGTCCTTATGTCTTCCATGGAGATAAACAATCACAACAAGGGAGTAGTGGGGTGAATACAGAAGAATCAGAGCCAGCTGATGAAGATAGTGATCAGGAGGAGCTAGACAGATTCATATCTGAGATAGAAGATGCGGCAGACAAGGAGTGGGAGGAAGAGGAAGCTGCGGAGCAAGAGGAATCTGGTAGAATAAGGTATTGGAACCGAGAGGAGTTTGCAGGAAGAAACAGAGGACCTTATGGAGGAGACTCAAGTCATGGCTTTAGAAGAAATGAAATGGATACTCGTAGCCAGAGGAGATCCAACGGTAGTGATGATGATGATAATGACAGTGATCAATTGGATTCTGAGGATGATGATGAGATCCCAAAGAGATTTGATAGGCCAAGATCAAATACAAGAAAGCAGGGACATGATTTTGTGAGAAGAAGCCGTGATCCTCGACCTCGTGTGAGGAGTGATGAAGAAGATGTGTTGAGTGATCTTGATAACACAATGTGGGATTCAGGAGATGAAGAAGATGCACCTGCTAATTATATCTCGAGCAGCGATGAGGATGAAGAAGAAAACAGGACAATATCTGCATCTAAGCAACCAAGATTCAGTAACAACAATAGTTCAAGAGATGGTATCAACAATTCAAAGACCAAGAGTGGAAAACAAAGGGATGAGGATTGGGATAGTGATTAGAAATGAAGAACATGAGATCACAAGTCCTTGCTTTCTGATTATTAAACTCTGGTCTGGATATTGAAAGCTGATAGGTTCTATTGTTAGGTCTGGTTTGTGATGATTAGTGGAAGACAGAGCTATGGTCACTGCACTTGAGATTAAATTTCTTGTTTTGCAATATCAAACTATGATGATCTGTGTTTTCAGCCAAAGCTTGTCTTTCTGTTTTGTTTTGTTTTTTTTCTTTTGATTGCGTTACTAAATTGTAAAAGTCGACTTTTGAGATTGGCTTTATCACAGTATACGTATTCCACAAGGTAACCTACTCTTGGAAGTCAAAAGGAATCTGTTCAAAGCGTTTCATGAATAACCGAAACACATGGTGGTAGATGAGTACAAGATTCTTTCTGAAGATAACATATCTTTTAGTTTTTAACTTGAAAGCAAAGACTTCCTTTCTGTTTCTTTGATTCATTTCTAAGTTGGCATTCAAGTAATCAAACATCATCTTATCTGTATTGCTTTACCCTTAAAGAAAGACAAGGACAGAACAATCCAGAATCTGACAACATGTACACACAGCTTAACCTTTAAAAGAACAAAACTTTTGCAGACAAGACATGGAAGCAAGAAGCTGATGTTTATATCACAGCCAAGAATCAGATCAGAGCAAACAAGAGTTGATAGATAGATTGAAAATGAAAAAGAATGAATAATTACTGATATAACCAGAACAAAGAACCGCAAAGAGTAATAATATATAAACAAATGGATCCTGAAAACATCTATACTACTAAATCAGCCTTAAGCAGCAACATTTTTTCCCCATTGTTGAAAAAACCTGGGAAGTGTTGTGCAGCTCTAACTCAAAGTGAACTCTCTCTCTTTTTTTCCTTTTCACAAACCCTCCTGTATCAAAAGACACTGATGCAAAAAAAAAATCTTCAGAACTCACCAACTGAATCCAGCATTTGGGTTATATGCAATCATATGACGTTTTCTTTCTTTAACTTCTCTTCTTTGGGTCAAAACATTGTGCCTTAGAGTGATCAATAAATAGCTCTGAAGCTTGACTAAGACTAGACAAGAACACTTTTCATCATAGAAACCCTGTCTGTTTTTCTCTTATGCAATTACCAGGTAACAAGTACTTGTACTTCTCAGCGTTCTCCAGCAGGTAATAAGGTAGATGAACAGCTGAATAAGAACGAGGCACAGGTCCCATCTTACCAATCATCTCCTTAAACGTGTACTCCTCAGGCAACATATCAAACAAATCAGTTCCTTTGCATATAACATCTTGAATCCTCTTAGGATTCAAATAATGAGAGAATCTAACACGGTCCGAGTGACTGTAAGCCTTCATCTTGAACACAAAATCACTTATATAACGGAAACAGAAGCTGCAGTGCCATCCTGAATCAGCTAACACAACATCACTCTGTCGAAAATGTGCATACCGAGTTTTCACCGGGTTGTAACGGTGTATAGACGCTCTCCAGCTCTTGCTATCGACATAGTACTCAAAAGAATACAAGTAGTTCTTGAGCTGAAGGTGAAGCACAGGAGGAATATCATCACACCATCTCAAGAGGTTGATGGTGTGAGCACTTGGTATCTCATCAACATCAGACATAATCAACAAATCATCCTCTTCAATGCCAGCGATTCTAAGTAGCTTATCCAATGCCATACGCTGATAGGCCTCTTCCACAAAAGGATTCTCCCCTCTCCTAAACCTTCCTCCAATATTCCCATAGGTCAACCTCGACTCCACGAAGTTAAACTGATCCTTATTGGTTTTGAACACAAACGGTTTAGGCAAACCGGTGAACGTTGAGTTTGATTCAAGAAGTACAAACTGTGTCACGTAAGGGTAAAGCTCTTTCCAACGAACTGTTAAGAGATCTTTCTCGTTGCTGAACAGAACAGCGTCGTAGACACGTCGTGGAGACTCTCTGACTCCCCAGCCGTGGAGGGAGCATAGAGACTCCATCGTTGCGTTCTCTGTGTAGTAGTGAGGGATGGTTTGAAAGGGCTTTGGTGGTGATTCCCAGAGGGGTCTGAAGAAGTAAGTGAGCTTTTGGCCGTGGAGGTAGATTGCGAAGATAGCGAATGGCATGAGGATGAAGAGGCATAAGAGAGTTCTTATGTCGAAGCCTTTAAGGACGCATTTGAGGCGTGAGATTGTTGCTGCTGCTTTAGATCCCTGCTGCATAGCAAACACAAAACTTAACATCATTCACAGAACAATGAAACTATCAAGAAAAGATCACTTTTTTTTATAATCAAATAGTATCTTTTTCAAGCAACAGAAACAATCTGGAAATTTAAAAAATATTTGTTTTTCATACAAAAATAAAAAAAGAGAGCTTTCATAATTATATAATAATCAAGGAATCAAGTTTCAAGCTTTCCTATAGAATTTGAACAATTAAAACTCCAGGATAAAAGGGTTGTTCTCTTGCGATCAAATTCTTCCGACAGGATTACAAAATCAGGACAAAAGATGTTGTGCATGGCGGATTTGTCGGAAACGAATTTTAACAGAAATCGATTTCAAAAAGACAAGCTTTGTCGAAATGAAACCTAATTGCGAGTGTGTAAGAAAATTAAATTAAGAGAAAAAAAAACAAACCTGTCCACAAACATCGTCGCAGATATCATCGGTCTTCTTCGAATTGTAATAACCATCGGACATGATTTTGACTGCGAAGAGAGAGAGAGAGAGGATTCGTCTAATGTTCTTCACGCCACGAAATCGATTAATCCCTCAAATTAAATGCACACAGAGAAACAGAAACAAAATAAAGAAAATAAATCGACGAAAAAAGGAAAACCTACTTTTTTGTTTTTCCAATCTCAATAGAAGAAAGAAAATAGAAAATGGGAAAATAGGAGAGCCTTTTAAGGGAATGGGAATCTCTGTAATCCAAAGAGACAAGAGGAGCAAATTAATGTTTCAATCCTTTAAATTTCTCTCCACAGGAAAATATAATAATTAAATACTTATAGAAGTTTTCTTTTTTTTTTTTTGGAAAAGGGGGGATGCGAAGGAAGAAACAGTCCGTTTCAGCGTTTACAGGTTTTTAAAAAAGGAAACGCGTTAAACCGCTGGATTAAGAAAGAATCCTACGGTTTGAAGTTAGTTTTGACGCGTGGGGTGTCCCAAAACGTGACTCGACGTTTTCCTTTTGTGCTGCTGAGTGCTGATGTATGTCTGAATATAACGGCAAGTGTGCCACCGCATTATTTAGTGACGGACAAGCCGTTTTTCTTTTGCGTTTCTTACGGTTTTAACTTTTAACCCCAAAACACAGGACATAGATCATTGTTTTTTCAGCCAAGACATAGCTTTGGTCTTAGACGGTTTCTTGTATTGTCAAAATGCAATTTTATAACATTTGAGTTTGTGATATATATTGTAGTGTTTCAAATTTTTGTAAAATGATTTGTCCTAGGTTGTGTGGAATCAGAAACAACGTGGAAACGAAACGTTTCAAACGTGGAACTTGATTTTTGATTTTTTTTTTTGCTTAGGAAATGCTTTAGCAACATCTATAAATATATAAACATATATATATATATACATACAATTTATTAATATTTGAATTCATTTTTAATTATGTTTAGTGTATCTAAGAATACAAATAAATCATTAGACGTTCTATATAATCATATGAAAAATAAAAATAGTCATCGTTAAACATCAAAATTAAATAAAATTTCAAAATAACAAAAATTCAATACTTAAATATTAAATATGTTGACGAAAGATAAAAATCATAACTGTAAATTAAAAATCAATAACATTATTTTTAACCATGTTTTACCGCTTCCAACTCAGGTTCATCAAGAAAAGGTCTTCAATCCCAAGTCTCTATTAATCTCATTTAGTGAAACAAATTGATCACCTCCAACATCTCACATATGTTTAGGACCATATTTGTATGCAAGACTTCGACTAGATAGAAAACTAAGATTATAAATACTAAATCTTCTGCTTATGCTCTTTCAATTAGTTTGTTTTTGAATTTATTAAACAATAAATTGATCCTTGTATTTATTAAATATTTATAAAAAAACTCTAAAATAAAAAAATTTCTTAAGTGTTTCCAAAATATAATTGCGAGTTTCTAAATAGAAATGTAAGTTTCCATCAAGTTTTCAAAGTGGATTTTTTAAGAAATGAATTTCGAATAAGTTTCTGCGAGTTTCCAAAAGATTTCAATTCTGAAATGTTTCCGAAACGTGATTATTTATTTATTTGTCACATTCCAAACAAAATTCAAAACTGAATGAAGTAGTGAGAAATATGAGTACTTGTTGGGAAGTAATATATGTAATTGAGATCAAAATACGAAAATGTTATATAATAATTGCATAATCAATAAATAAAATTTGAACATGCCAGGTGAACGAATATCAAACATCCACTAACAGTAGACGATCAGATCATTCCAAATTTGCTCTTATTAGTGTGATCATGGCAAGGTTTTGATCCATGAAAACATTTACAACAAAATGTGTATTTTGTTGTCCGAATTTATGTGTAGACGGATTTAATATCGTATCAAAAACAGATTAACTTATATCTTGCATAAAATTAACAATTGATTAATTGCTGAGTATATCGATAGACGGGACATTTATACTAAACGGATCTTGTCATTATGCAGACGAGGATACGAATAAGAAAAGCCACCAAACTGAACTTCACACATATTTGTGTGGTATCAGTTCTTAATTAAAGTTGAATATGTGCAAACGACATGTGCCTTCTTGTCGTCGCTTATGACCTAATGAAATAAAGCACAGAATCAATCTAATAATCCAATTACATGTACACACATGCACACATGTATGTGGATGATGTAAGTCTCTATTTTTATAATTTTTGAAATTGTATGTTTTTTGGTTTTGATTAATAATAATAAAGAGTCTCCAAGACGTGCGATGAACATGCCTCATCCCTCATCGATGTACACCACTCATATTAGATTTTTATTTGGAGACTTCACTTTCAAAGCATATTCTTTTATTCCCGTTTCAACATTAGTTGTGATTGTTTTTGTTACCATTGTTTTCTTGACAACGGTTGGCGTCAAAAAAAGAATCAAAACTTTTGAACTTTAATTCTTTCTATGTGTGGAAGCTGAATTGGCCTTGCACTCATGTAACAAGCTAAAACAAGTTTTCTTCAAAAGCTACACTCAAGACTAAAATTAAATTTCAAAATAGGTTATATATTGGAAATTATCAATTTGTAAATATATTTCTTAATCAGGAAACTTGTAAATTAAGTTTATTTCCAGCGATTTCATATTACCACGTTAAACTGAGCGGTTTATAGAAAATTAGTTTCACGTTAAAATACAAACAAATAAAAATCACAACTCAGTTCTATGTAGAAGTGCACTTTTCTGAGTCGATAATCTACCAAAAAAAAACTGAACAGTTAAGGGACGAAATACAGTCGTCAACAGTATCTCTACATATAAATTACGTGAACCATTTTGGGTCGAACCACCATATACACCAGTCCTATCGACTGATAACGAACCAAATTGTCGCATCCTGATACAAATACGTAATCATAGTACGTGAGTGTTTTAAAAAAAGAGAGAGAGTTTACGTGACAAAGGCAAACACAAGTTTCAAATTAGGTTTCTTTTTTTCTCTAACCAAGCCTCCACTGCTAACGACGTGTTAATGTATCGATCATTATCATACATATATATATATACAACTTTATTTTTATTTAATTATATTCAAGTAAACAAGCTCATAATTTAACTCCATCTTTTGTTGATTGGTTCAACTCAAATCTTGTGGTCTGACCATCGAATTGTATTGACCATGGGTCCATGCTAGCTAGTTGAGTGATGTATTTTATCACATTTTAATATGTCAACTCTATAAGTGGCGCTTATATTTGAATAGTTACGTGGGGTGAGAATTGTTTGGAGACAAGTTAAGTGACTAAAATAAGAATGAGTCAAAACAATAACGTTTGTGGGTGTCTAAACTTAATTACCAACTAGAGATTTATGTCAAGTGATTTGTATGTATGTAACATTTAACCTCTGAAACACGTGTTTCTAATTAATACTCATAAATACGAATCATTTATTTCGTTACAAATTAATAGACTTATACATTCAATCATCCTAAATGTTGATAATCTGTAATTCACAATAATGCCAAATGACTAATTTTAAGAAAATGTATACTCAATAAAATAGGATAATGAAAAAATCAGATACAATCTTAATAACTCATAATAAATGACATTATTACTCTGTAATTAGTTAAAAATTTCCATTATAATCTAACCAAAATAAATCTTTATCTTTATCTTAGTTTACAAAAAAAAAATCTTTATCTTATGTGCGAGGCGGCTAGCTAAATTGATAATATTACCCAGGTAGTTTTGAACAATAGAAACACAAACCCATTGGACTTATATAGGCCCATATATGAGCATCCTCTAATCTCTATGATCCTCCACCTGTCTCGATTAGGAGCTAAAATCCGGTGCGGGCGGGAGCACAGTACATCATCAACCTTCCTCTTTCCCCAATTATAGATAAAATTAAATCTCAAATCGCGACGATCGGACGGTTTATTAGTTTTCTGACTTTGCTTGAACAGATCGGTCAGGTGAAAAGAGAAAGAGCCGAGAGAGAGAGATCAGCGCGATCTGTTGCAGTTTCACTGAATTGGGAGGATTTGTCTTCCTTGTCTGATCGTGTCCGTACGACCATAGTCTGTAAGCTGTCCGATAACTTCCCTATTGTCAGTTTCTAGGGTTTTGTAGTCTGCTTCGTTATCTCTATACATTGTTGCTACTTCTAATTTTGCTTTTTTTTTTTCTCAATTTAATGTTGTTTCAGGTGTTTGATTAATCGAGATATAATGGATTTGGCATCGCGTTATAAGGTGATTTTGTTTTTTTTTTCCAATATTTGATTGTGTTGTTACCGTTTCGAGCTTTATTCAGCTGTATATATTTTTGGGTGATCGAATCGATGTTGAATGCATGTTTGGACATTGGCTTAGAAGAGATTGTTTTTGCATTGGCTTGGTGTCAATTTGGATATAGTTTTGGTGGGGGAGAGTGAGTGTTAGTGTGTACTAATCAAGAAGGCTGCAAGAGAGCTTTCATAACATGTTTTTTTTTATGCTGCTACTTTTATCAGCAGCATCAGATATTGTTTTGGTGTTTATGCGATTGTTCTTAACTTGTTGTGATTTCTTGTACAGGGGGTTGTTGGGCTTGTTTTTGGAGATAATCCATCTTCTAATGAAGACAGGTATGTTATTCACTTTTCTTTTATTTACTACGAGTAGGGCGAATACAGCAAGTTCTTTTATCTAATGCTGGGAATTATATTTTATCAAATTGTTTGATGAGGATTGGATTTTATATTTGGTGTAGTTACATTCAACGCCTGCTGGATCGCATAAGCAATGGTACCTTACCTGACGATAGGAGGAATGCTATTGTAGAACTTCAGTCTGTTGTTGCTGAAAGTAATGCTGCTCAGTTAGCTTTCGGGGGATCCGGTAATTGTCTTTTTTTTTGTTTGCTGTCATTCTTCTGGCTGAATGTGAGATCAAATAAAAAAATTGCAATTTTCATGCTGTGATTTCAGGATTTCCTGTGATCGTGGGAATCCTAAAGGACCAACGGGATGA